CATCCAGAAAAGCTCGACTTGGATTTGAGTATTTTGATTCTCAGAGTTCTTCCTACCACAGCCCACACCTGAAGTTTGCAGTATGTTGGGTCCAGTTCAGGAAGGATGGGAGATGGAGAGGGTTCCCCAAACTGAAGACTGGAGGCTGGGGGTGGGGAGGTCCTGGGAGTAAAATGGGCTTGTTCTCCAGCACTGGGCCAGGGCTGCTCTCATGCCTGGGGAAAGCCAGGCCCTTTGAAGACAAGAAAGGTTACTCCCTGCCACGGCCGCTCCATGCAAAGCCTGGCCCAGCAGTTTCTGCCAGGCCCAGGAACACCCAGCTTCCAGGTTGCAAGCTGGTGCAGTGGAGGGATGTGTTTGGGAGTGGCTGGTTCCCTTGGGCTAGATTCGAGGGGATGTACCATCTTGCCCAGGAGGCAGCAAGCGTAAGAGCAAGAGAGGGGGCTGGGGCGGGGGTGGGGGACACCGGGTATGTGGCTTCCCTTCCAGCCTGCAGTGTTGTCATGTGTATAGAGAGGGGTGTTGGCATCTGAAGGGATTACTGAGGTCCCTTCTGAGGCTTTGGGGTGTTGGATCTTACGATTCAGGAAAAATGCCTGAGCATCCAACAGACATGTGCTCTTGTGCAGGGAGCACCAGGGGAGTGTGGTCTGGTCGGGCCCTTGGCCACAGGTGACAGAGGAGGACTGAGGCCCTCTGTGGCCACGCCAACAGGAAGTCATCAAGGGACTTGCTGCTCGAAGGAAGAAGGAGAAGGCACAGCAGGGGTGAGGCCGGCAAGAGATTCCTATGTGAGCAGGCAGCAGGAGGGGACTGGTCCACCGGGCCCTCAGACCCCTGGACCTGTACTGTCGCCCTGCAGCCCTCCCCACCCTGCCATCTAGGCACTGGCATTAGATGTCCCGTGTTGTCTGCAGGAGGCAGCTGTGGCCTGTTTTCCGGAAGACTCAACTGGGGAGAGTGGGCAGAGCTGGAGGGAGGAGTGGCCTCCGAAGTTAAGACTGAGCCCCTTTCTCAAGGGAACAGCTGTAGCCAGATCTGATTCTTCTAGGACACGCTCCTGTCTTGTTCTTTCCTGCTCCTCCTCCTTTCCCGTTCTTCTCTTCTCCCTCAGGCATCCTTCTCTCCATTTCAGAAAATCTCTGGTGTCCTGTCTGAGGCTAGGGTAGCTGGAGCCTGTAGCTTGTGGGGTCTCTCTGTCTCACACACATGCCTACATGAACAGAGGGACCTGTACACAGTGGTCTTCCTGGAGGGTGAGTGGGGATCAGGGCCAGGCCTCTCCTGATACCAGGGAGCCTGACTCCTGCTTAGGAGCCCTCCTGGAAGGGCCGCTGAGTCCTTCTTGCAGTGGGAGGTGGAAGTTTTGATGGATGCCCTCTTTGCCACTCGGCAAAGCACCATTGCCCACTGGTCCCCACCCCCAGCATGGTCCTGGGGCATAGGAGAGAGAGCAGTGTCCTGGGACTCAGGAGGCAGCCTCCCTCGGGCCCTCAGTCTCCTCATTTCGAGTGGGAGGTTGATCTGATGGAGTTCAGAAACAGAAGGGATCTAAGAGGCCCCTTGGTCGAGGGCCCACTCTTTGTAGGAATCCCTGCCCCCATTGTCCTAGGGGGTGCCACGTGGCTGGAGTCCCTCCAGAAGTCATGGCGCCTTCCTTCCCAAGGGCCCCTTGCTTCACTGAAAAATCATAGCTTTTAGAAGTTCTACTCGCTTATCCTCCATTCCATAATTACTAAGTTTTCTCTCCAGGTCAGTGTCCTGCCTGGGTCCATTAGCATCCCTCTCAGTGCCACCAAACAATGTGGTTCAGTTTTGACTATCCTTAGAGGCAACCAGTCCCAACAGTGGGTGCTCTGTCTTGGGGACTCTGGCTGCCCAGCACCAGGCCAAACACTGCACATGGTTTATCTGACAGAAGCTTCGCCGCCGTCTTGCTGGGGTTCACTTGCTGATCCCCATTTACATGGAGGAGGTGAGGCTCATAAGCTCGTCAGTGGCAGAGCTGACCAAGCCCCGGTGGGCTGTCTGCCTCCAGCCCTCTCAAGCTCTGTGCCTTCCTGTAAGCAATACCTGCTCTTAGTCACGTTGTTTGTGAAATGGCGATAACTGCACCTGCCTGCTGGATTATTGTAAGCTCTAAGCAAGATTGTACATGGAAAGCACTTAATTTTTAGTTGATGGCATCCCGTTCTGGCTTGATAAGTGGTGGCCAGTCACTGTCATATTGCGCACTGTCCCTTACAATTCCTTCCCTGCCTTGTGTCTCCACAAAGACACAACCTCTCCGGGCCTTTGCCCTCTCTTCTCTGGAGGAAGGGGTTGTACCTGCTGCTAGCAAGGGGTGCTTTGGCTGGAGGAGGCCAAAGGTGGCAACCCTGGCCAGCTGGCAGCAGGCCCCCCAGAACCCCAGCCTCCTTGCTGTCCTGCCGTTTCCCCAGGCCTGCCTCCCACGGTGGTAATTAAGCCCACGGCATCTAGTGTCAGCAAATAATAACACGGGCATTATCTTTCTTTAGTCTGTGTTTTTCCTGGCCTATCATAAAGTAATTAAAATAATGAATGCCTTGTAAAACAATAGTTAAGAGGGCTGGCAAAAGGGCATTCTCTGCAGTATACCTCTTGTGCTCTGAATTATTGATGCACTGAAACCACTGGGACTTGGGGGGGACTCCCTGCCTCCTGGCCCCTTCCAGGCGGCTTCTCTCCTCCAAGGTCTGCCAGTCTGCCAGGTGGCTGTGGAGCCTGGGCTGAGGAGCAGCCTGTGACCGTGGACCAGCCCTGACAGATCGCTGGGGTGGGGTGTGGTGGACATTGCTTGGAAAGAGACACAGAGCCTCTGATTTGAGGGTTTTGCCCTGCCCCCACCTCTCCCTTGTCCACCCCCAACCCTGGGTTCTGAAAGAAACAGGTGGTGTTCTGTCCCGGGTGAAGAGAGAGGCTTGGAAAGAGCTGGGGGTTCAGATCCGTGTCCCATTTTAGATCAGGCAGGGATGATTAAGCCATGCCAACATGATTAGGAATGGTGGTTCTCAAAGTGGGATTCCCGGGCTGGTAGCATCGGTAGGTTCCGACACGGGGCCCAGCACTGTGTTTTAACGAGGCCTCCGAGTGGTTCTGATGCCCACTCGAACTTGAGAATCACTGCTTTCTAGTGCCAGTGGCTCAAGGAGAGGCAGGAGGTGGCAGGACTAATGAACTGAAAGTGTGTTGTGTGCCTTTGGGCCCTGGTTAATCCCTCCAACGTCTATGCGGCAGGCCATATTGTCCCCATCTGAGTGGGTGCGGGGTCCCAGTGATCCCATGCGGCAGGAGAGCTGAATTTACACCAGCAGAATCTCCATGTGGTCAAGACTCGGGGTCCTAACAGGCCACTGAGACTGGCCTTAGGTGGCTTGGGTGGCAGAGTCCACAGGTGTAAGTAGGTGGCCCTGAGCAGGCCCCCCCTGGGGCTCCCCACAGGCCTCCTCTCACATTGTTCTAGTTTCCTGGGGACCTCACACACCGGGAGAGACAGCATGAGCCCCCAGTGCTGCTGAGGCTCCTTCTGGCTTCTCGACTTCCCTCGAGCCCATGGAGGCTGGAAGGGGAGAACCGTGCATCAGGAGTAGCTTCCAGCCTGCTTGCAAGTCCCCAAGAGGATGACTCATCCCGTGCGTCTCAGCTCTCCTTTCCTCACTCTGCCTTACCCCCACTTACTGCAGACCAAGCTTTTCATGTCTGCCTTGGTTTCTCTCCCTTGCTCCAACTCACAGTGTGTTTGCTTTGAAATTTGATTCTAAGCTTTTAAATTGAAGGGTGAACATAATTGGCCCAGCATCTTTTTCTTCATTGGTATCTGCAAACAATCTCAGTGGATATTTGAGTAGGAGGCCCAGTTAAATATATGTTTTATAGAATATATTTTTAGTATAGCTATGTGTCATGTAAAAAATGTGTATCTGAAACTCAGTTTTCTCTGGGTGTCCTATATTTTGTTTGTCATTCGTAGGCCCAGGAAGGGGCTGATACTCAGTGAGTATCACAAGGCAGACTGTGAATGAAAAATAAAACAGAAAGGTGGTGCTATTGGAAGGCGAGTTGGAGTTTTCAAAGGGTAGCCTGAGAAGATTTCATTGAGCAAAGACTTGAGGGAGGTGAGGGAGTAAGTTTTGACCCTCTCTGGGAGAAGTAGGCAGAGGACACATTGCATATAAAAGCATGTGATTTAGGGCCCCATGTGGGGCTCATTTATCTGAGGAAGTCAACCTTGTTTACTCAAGCATGTTTTTAGCCACAATTTATTCTCTTTTGTAATTAAAAAGGTCTGGTGTGGATTTCAGGCACAGCTGGATTCAGATGTTCAAATGATGACATCCATATTCTGTCACTTATAGCTTCCTCTGTGGTGGCTTCATTCTCAGGGAAGGATTACTTTTCCTACTCTTTCTAGCAAAAGTCCCAGGCTTGAAGTGTATTGGGTTGGCATGGGTCATGTAACCATCACTGGTCCAACTGCTCTTGCTTATGGGATGGGATGGTCTAATTAATCAGTCTCTATTCCTAGAGCCACTGTGGGCCTTCAGTTCTTTTTGAACTACACAGATCGAGATGAGGAGTTGGGGATTTTCTTAAGAAAGATCGAGCACTCCTGTGAGCTGGTTAGGAAGGCTGGGCGGGTGGAGACCACAGCATGCCAACCTCACCTCCTTCATAGTTATTCCCGACCCTAGACGAGATGATTTCCGTCCTGAGCTTCGTGATTTTTTTTCCCTTTAAAGTGGAAGGAGATCAATTTCATTCTTTCTTTCACAAAGATATTTTAAGAGAAAATAAAAGATTCTTTAAGAAAAAGATTTAAAAGAAAACCAAGCCATCATGCATTCCATCTCCCTGCCCCTTGTCCCTTCAAGCCAGTTCCCACATCAGCCAGGACCCTTTCAACTTTGATTCTTTTGGGTAGGTTGTGTTTAATAAACTCAGTTGGTTCCTATTCTCAACCCTGTTCTCTCTGTTGCCAGGAAGCCCAGAAGATTAACAATGGCTCAAGCCAGGCGGATGGCACTCTCAAGCCAGTGGACGAAAAAGAGGAGGCAGTGGCAGCTGAGGTCGGCTGGATGACCTCTGTGAAGGACTGGGCGGGGGTGATGATATCTGCCCAGACACTGACTGGCAGAGTCCTGGTGAGTCCCCAACTCCCTCCCCCTTGGGGAGGCCTGCTGTCTGGTCCATGATGCCTTTGCTTAGAGGGACGCCATGTTTCCTGGGGCTTCTTCAGGCCTCGACTGTTGAGAAGTGGGGGGTGAACAGTGGGTTGTGGAGTAGAGGCCGGGTTCTCTGTATACATAAGCTAGTGGTTTGAGGGGGTATTTGCATCTGGGGCAATGAGGGTCTGTTGGGAGGATGGAGAGCATTTCCTCTGCCAGCAGGGTAGGTGTACGCAGGCACGCATGCACAAAGGTGCACACATCCACAAGCAGGCACATAGACGCACACATACACAGCTTGATAGTCTTGGAGAGGAGAGTGAGTTGAAGCAATATGTGCTCAGAATTCTGCAGAGAGCCCATAAAAGATAAATGCCAGGATCCGAAGAGTTCTCTGTATGTGCCCATCGGCTCTCTTGGGTCTGCTCTCGGACAGGGGTTCTCCTGAGAAGGATGCTCTATTCCAAATGATTTCTTGCTACAATTCAGGAAGCTGCCCTTACTGGGCCTGAAACTGGGGCTTGGTCAAGACTCATTTGGCTCAAAGGATGAATGGGAATGTTCTGACGGTTGGGTGAATCAAAGATGGGGCAGGAACACTGAAAACCTTGATGCTTCCTGGCAAAAGCTCAGTGAAGAGGGGATGAAAGATGTAGGGAGGAGGTGAAAGTTGACCCCTCAGGATCCTTCTTGGGGAGAACTCTGTGTTACGTTCAGAATGAATATCTCACAAACTGCTTGAGGGAGGGGATAAGACACTGAATATCATGCTTGTGTCACAAAGGTGGTGGCCAGACAGCCTTCAAGGAGGTCAAGGTTCTGTTAATGGAGGGAGCTTTCGGGAGCTGAGCCTTCTGGAGAGTCTGGATGTGAAGCTGTGGCTGTTGTTCGTTGATGGAAACATTGAAAGGGAAGAGATTTAAAGCTGGGGCTTGGGAGAGGAGGAGAGAGGAACCGGTGAGGCCAGTTACTGCCTGGAGCAAGACAACCCAGGTTGGTAGGACCAGGAGAGACGGGAAGTACGGAGCATCTAATGAGGAAGTGAAGGTGGCTTGCTGCGGGCTGTGCCGCCATACCCCATCCTTCCCTCCCTGCAGAGTCTCCGGTAAAGGCTCCATTGCTCTTCTGTGCTTGTGCAGGAGTGGATTCTGTGTAGGAAGCTTGTGGAGGTGGAATTCCAGGTCTGGGCATTCATGTGGGAAGAAACGCAGGCAGTGTGTTGTCTACCTGAGGTAGTGATTGTGGACGAGGCTCAGCAGACACTTTGGTTGCCCAGATGCGATGCCTGTCTCTTCCACGTGGCCACTGTGGCACTCTAGACAGCCCTAATTATCGTCATCAGCATCAGCCAAGAGTTACTGAGGATGACTTGGCCAGGCGTTTTTTCCAGCCCTATGGAAAACAATATGCTCTAATTCCATTGCACCATGGACGGAAATTACTGAAAGAACGTCTGGAGGAGAAACGCGATGAGTACAAGCCTCGTATGGGTGTGTGTAGGGGGCGCTGAGTGTGGGGACATAGGGACCATCAAGAAAGCCTTTGTGACACCTCACAGGGAGGAGATCCTTTGAACTAAAACTTCCGTTTCAAGATGAACTGAGCCCATGCTTCATGACAGAGAAGACATCAAAGATAAAAGCTTGGAAATAAGAAAGGGACCACTTAGTGGGCCAGAAGCTGAGAAGAATACCTAAATAATAAACAATAAGGCAGAAAGCATTGGAGTTTGAACTGTGAGCTAACATCATGAATGTCTGTTGAGGAGAGGGGATCATCCCAGAGGGAGGAGAGGGGATCATCCCAGAGGTGACAGAGAAAGGACATGGCATGGAGAGAGCGAGGACCAGGCCGTGAACACAGAGTCACCCGAGGGGACAGAGACCTGGGAAGGTGGGCTGGAGACAGCTTGTCATGTCTTCAAATGCCCAGCTAAGGAATTTGGACTGAATTTTGTAGGGAAAGGAGATTTTGAGGGAGGGGCATCACGATGGAAGGTTGTGCAGAGAGAAATACTAGCGGACAGGTGAAGGGCGGATTGGGGAGGCGGGAGCTTGAGGTGTGAGGGTCAGTCAGGACTGTGAGGTCTGGTGCTGGGGACAGGCCACGGCAGCAAGTCCTGAACGAGCACCGAGTGGTACAGGCAGGTGGGAAGAGGTGTTTTGGGAGCAGAACTCACAGACCAAGTGCCCCAGTAGTCATCTTGATACTCCTGCTCACAGTAACATTCTCGAGAGCCTCTTGTGAGCCAGGCACTGTGCAATGCCCTACACATTATGATCATGGCAAGGCGCATGTTGTATTTGTTCTGTATTCCTGATTTTGCTGTTGGGCTGTAGGGGTTCATTACAAGGAAGCAAGAGAGCCAGTCTTGTCAATGAATTCATCTCCATCTCACAGTCAAGGAACCCAAGGGTTGGGAAGGGCAACGCCTCGCTGAAGGCTATGCAGCCTGAAGTGACCCAGCCAGGCCTGAGCCTGCAAGCCTCCGGACTCCCTGTCTAGTGCTCTTTCCATGTCGTTACTTCCCAGTTGAAGACAATGCCTCTTTTTCTAAGCCACTGGCAGCTGTCGCTTTGGCTGTGACATTTTGCCATTACTGTCTGAGCCAATTAGGTGCTGAGGTGGTTTAGTCTGATTCTCTTAATATTTGCATGGAGGAGTGTGGTGACGCCAGCTGCTCTCTGAAGGTCTCCTTGGAGAAAATCCTGCCCAGGCCGCTCTGGCTCTCTCAGAGCAGAGCAGGTCCCGCTGCACGGAGAGTAGACGTCTGGGAGTTCCAGGCCGTACCTCCAGAACAGGCCTCTCCTTCAGGAGAAGGCAGGGCTTTGCTCTGAGGAGGGAGCAGATTTCACGTGGAAGTCTCAGCGCGCACCAGAACGCGGCGCTGCCTGTGCAGAACCCAAAGCTGTGTTTGTCTTGAACTGTCCAAATGTTTATCCTTGCAACAATGGGACGGAAGCAAGACTAGACATCCAGCTGTTCAGAGTTTCCCTTTTCAATTTTTATTTTATTTTTTGACACATGGCTCAGGAGCTTGGCCTCCACACCTGGGCCCCTTTCTTACCTGTCTCGTTGTCACAGATGAGAGTCTCAGAGCTAGGCATTGTGGGTAAGGCCCAGGTTGGGAAAGATTCCCCAAGACAACCCCAGCACATCTGTAGACACACCTGCTATCTGGGCTCTCTCAGACGAGCACATGGTTCGTGCAGCTAAGTACTTATTTCTTACCTGTCCCTGGCACTATTCTAGGCCCTGGGCGTGAAGCCGTGAGCAGGAGAGATGCAGGGCGTGAACTATTTATATTGATAGACTAGATTTAAAGTTGTAGGGCTCCGTGTGCAAAAGGATAAATGATAGTCACCATTCAGCAGCGCTTTTCCTAGTTCCCACCTGGAGCTTTGGCTTCGGGTCTCGGAATAGCCTGCCTTGTCTCTCGCTGTGGCACTCAGGCTTAGTTAGCTTCAGGAGAGCCAGACCGGACTGAGTCTCCTCCTGGAGCGCATGGCTAAGGGGTTCTGCGTCGAAGTGAGCCCCAGGCTGACAAGCGTTGCGGCTTCCTTCCTTTATTTATTTTTTTAAATGAAAGATACTTATTATTTTCTGATTATGAGAGGGGGCGCATGCTTATGTCAAAATTTGGGAATATACTGGAAGAATTGGTGTAAAGTCCACTTTGGGACGTGGAGTTGGCCACAGGACTGCTCGGTGTAACAGTAAATGCTGTGGAGATGCTTCCCAGCCGTTGGGGTGTTGCTGGGGCCTTTGTTCACCACACCTGCTGTTCCTTTTATGCACAGTCTCAGGAGATAGGTAGTTCTTCATGCCAGGGATTGCTGTGGTCTTCCTGGTGGACCTTCAGGGAACACTTCAAGTTGGGAAAGGGATCATGGCCTTCTACTTGTAGCGGCTGCTGCGAGCCAAGTTCATGGCCCACGGAAAGCACACAGCACCTCAAGATTTGCATTCTACAACTTCACACCCCCCTCACTACATCTATGCGTCCTTTGGCTCATTTTCCCTTTGTCCTGATTGTCTTACCCTCCTCCTCATACTTTACATGTCTGTGGTTATACTCTGCTTTACTGGTTGGTGAGCTAATTACATTTTTCTAAGATTAAGGTGGTATATGTAAATACGGAGGGCAAGAAACAGAGTAGGCTTTTGTATTGCTTGGTTGTACGTTACAGAATCATAAGCCAAAGTTAGTAGAGTTAGTCTAGTTCAGGGTTGGGAAGGTATTCTGCAAGGGGTCAGATAGTAAAGGTTTTGGGTTTTGCAGATCTAGGGACCCTGTCACAACTACTCAACTCCGCCATTGTCATTTGAAAGCAGCTGTGGACAATACACAGATGTGACTGTGCTCCCGTAAAACTTGCCAAAAACAAGTGGTGCGCCAGACTGTTGTTCGTGGCCATAGGTTGCTGACCCATGGTCTGTTTACTTGCTTACTTAATAAGTATATCAAAAGGCAGAAAGAACTTCCTTAAGAAGGAATCTTGTAATATATCACAAGAGTTATAGTACCAGAGAACCCATTTATAATGAGGAAAGTTACAGACGCACAGAAACACAGACGGCTAAATGTTGGCACACATACACACTCACCCCATCTCTGTTAAGCATTTTATTTCTGAACATTCTTATTTATTAATCCCTACATTGATCTCTGAGTGGCTGTCTCTCTAAGAAAACACTATGTCCCGTGGCCACGCATGGCCTCACCTCAAGGTGCAAGCTGGGTCTACATGTCTACATTGCTTGGGCCAAGCCCTTTATACCTTCAGTAATTTGTGCTTCTCTTCAAAGATTGGATTTTGTCCGTATAATGATCAGCTCCTTGAGCAAAGATAGAACTCCCAGAACGGTTCCTTTTGGTTATTTTCCCCCATATTCCCATGTCACTACATTTGAATATTGTTCCAGGAGGCATCTAGATCTAATCCATGGACTGAGAAGATAGACTACTAGCTTTG